AGGAATCAGTGTTACCAGGAAAAAATCAAATCAATGAACACCATTGGAAAATTTTGGGACGGAAATACATCCTAATTTGGAATTAACGTTAATTTGCATGATAGTTTCACCCCGCAACATAACACTAGTGGGGGAATGGAATGGTTTGAGGTTACTTGCAGTAGCATTGCCAAGAAACACTTTTAAAAGCATGTTATACTGAACATTAAGCAAACGGTTTAGCTGTTGCACGTTGTTTACACTTCGGAACTATACGTATAAGACGGGCAACGAGGAAATGCAAGGATTGGTACGCGCAATGCTTGAAGTATCAATGCAGTCTTGCAGGCACCAACGGAGCGCGCCGTGGCACCGTGGAGTACGCGCAATGCGTGAAGTACTCGTGCAGTCTTGGAGGCGCTGACCTGCGTTCTGACGCCGACCGCAGTGTTTGGCACGATCATTCAAACTCGCGCAGCGTTTTTCAACTTGTGATTTTGAAGTTGTTTGCACAAGTACACTCTGAAGTACACTCGTTTCACCAGCCTTACCCTTCCTGAAAACTTTGTTTCGTGCATAAAAAAGTGTTTGCAGTATAAATAGCGGATGTCACATTTTTTCAAATCGCTGTTACTCCTTCAATTTTTCACTTACATAAATCGTAAAACGTGTGTTTTTTACCGGAAGAGTTGCTCTTCATGAAAATCTTTACAATAATCCTCTCCGTCTATGGGCGGAAAAGTGCAAAGCTTCAAAAACTTCAAACGCGATTTTCTCACAATGCGAAAACTCGACATCCGCTATTGTTACAGATAAGTCCTCATGTATGTCCTTCATAGAGCTATGAAGAAACGCGTTGTTTTCCGAACTTGTTTTTGAAGGACGCTTCCTGCTTAGTATATGCTCATTTTGTTTTTGTCTTGAACGTGACATGTGGGATCGTCCGATGATATTCTTGGCGTAATATCACCAATTTAGAAAAAAACGCCGCGTAGACTTTCGAACGTCGCCGAATTTTTACCGATAATATATTTATTTCTAGAACGTCACGAATTCTTTGTGAAACTATCATACACTGTAAATAAATTTGCGAATGAAATTCTCTGAAACACCGGAATAAAAAGTCTTCACAGGTTTCCCGGAAAATTCGCGATTTATCAGCGGAAAGTTGGCTACATCTGAGGCACATGCGTCGTTTCTTGTTACGACGACAGAATACTGAGATTCTTTAAGCGTGATCAGTTTTAAAATCATCCTGTGAGTCTGGTGGCGGTGAGGTGGTAGACGTATAACGGATTAGCGATCGCTATTACAAAACAGACGCGTGCGGTTTAATGGGAGGAGCGCGTAGCACATCGCTATCACACGCGCAGTCGAACATTGTGCGTGACATAGAAACGCCTGGCGCGCATCATCACTTTCTTTATATTAAGTTAAGACGTTCGAGTTTGAATTAGTGATGCTCCTGTGCTCTTTTTAATAAGAGAATGATTTTAGCACTTTACTTCAAAAATAATTCAAGGAGGTCTCGACCCAGTAATGGCTTCCGCAAGAGACGGAAGCAGGAAATTGAATTTTGAATGGACCATTAACAGGGATACGAACGAGAGTACTATACAAGGTATATCCTAGTTCTAAAGTTACACGGTAGACACGTTGCGTACGGTGTCAATGATTGTGCCGAAATTTGCTTGCAGTAAAGACATTCATGTGCTCATTGAAACATTGCAGTTCAAGTGTGTAGAAGTGTTAAGTTTTTTAATTAAACATTATCAAACTGAAGGGAAAAGTAAGATCAAATAAGACTTTCAACAATAAATTATAATACCTAAAAATAAGACCAAGAGTGCAGGAAACCAATTATGAACCTCATTAACCCTCATATGCACTGAGAAAAATTGGATCCCTCTTCCACATTCCTGTAAGTGCCTATGAATCAAAGAGTCTTCAACTTCCTTCTAAGTACTTAACGCTATCCATAGGCGAACCCCTTTGTAAATTTTCGTTTCTGATGGAACCGTTTGATTTCATCATACGCCTCACGATGGTGTTAGTTTATTTCTCTGAATAAGAACAGCTTACTCGCTCGGTAACACTTGAACCAACATACAAATCCTTATTATTTCTCACTGTTTTCATTTGGACTTAAGGATCGATTTGGATGTTAATTTTCGTCATGATCTTTGGCGTCGAGAGCAAGCTAACAGCGATACAAAACTCTAGCGCGGTGGTTTTCGTAACGAGTGCACACCGTAATTACAATCGTGACGCTCGGTCGAAGTGGGTGCGAGTTGTAGAAACTACAAATTCTGAAATTTGCATCGGCCGCGGCGCACAGAGGGTCGAGTAGACCAGAGAAGTCGGACATGAAAGTTTTGACTAAAACCGCAAATTTTATGTTTATTTCATCACCTTTTAAATTTCAAGGGGTGGTCCTGAAAGAAAATTTTACGAGGAAACCAATGGAGCCACTTTTAGAACCTCAAAATTTTGTATAACGGGAGTTATAAGCGTTTAAAGTTTCCCAATTTTATCCGACCTCTCCTATGGACTCGACCCGATGTAGGACGGCTGCATCTTCGGACGACCGGTGAGGTGATGGTGGCGGCCGGTCGTTAAACGATCGGGATGGGCTCTTGACCGCTCTTTTAGCGCGCTGCTCCGCGATTAAGTTCCCGGACTATTGTCTCGCCTGAACGTGAGACGCGACTGACGAAATCCACGCCGAACGCGGGGTTTACGTGTTGACGCGCCGTAAAACTGTCCCGAGGGAGCCACAGGAAGCCAAGTTGCCCACATCGCGAAAAATACACACAATCTAGAGTATTGATTAAAATTCGACCTAACTGGGTCGCACCCCATCACTGCCGTGCTAAGGAAAAACGCCGTATGAGCCTTCAGGTCATCAGGTGTTCCCAAATATCTTTAGATCGAATACGAATTTTCAAGAAAATATGAGAATACTTTTCCTCCAAATTTTCGGACAATTTTGTACGCAATTTCATCGTAATTATCTGAAAATTTCAAGGGAAAATATTCATAGCATTCCTGAAAATGACATGTTTTATCAATGGAAATTCGGCAACTCTCGAATGTTTATACGGCGTTTTTCCTTAGCACGGCAGATTAGTTTAGTTGGTTTGAGGTTGATAAAACACTCCTACTTGTATTAAATTTGAGCAGAGAAAAATAGCCACGGGGAAACTCCGTAACCACGTGTCTGGTTTGCCGTGATTAAAAATCTCCGCTCCTATTTTATTTTTTACAGATGAATATGCCTCATACAGAATTTCTTGAATTTTTTTCACAATTTGCTCCCCACGGAGAAGTTAAATCACAAAAGTTTTTAAAAATTGAAATTAAGTAGTTTTCCATTGAAAAGATAAAGCATGGCAGGGAAGTCTGCAATGTCGCAAACCGAGTTTTGTAGTTTGGGAGTTTCCCTGTCAATAGGTATAAAATCGTGTCCCTCTATTAGAGTCAATATTGAGGACAAAACTCAACATATTACTACCGTTAAAATATTCAGTGATATAATGTGGATGACGCCATTCATCGTGATTTTCCATGGGTGATTATCACATCAATACGATAGAGGAAGCTGTTCAATTCGACGGATATTATCATTAGTTACCTTTTGCTTTACATGATAATTTACAACAGAAGTACAGAAAGAAACACAAAAGAAGAAGAAGCATACATACAGAAAGAAGTACACATACAGTGTCAAGAAAATCCAACTGACCCATCAATTTCACAAGAATCCCGTGTGAAATACGAGAATTTGTGAGTCTATTTGTAAACACCGTGCCAATCCGTGTCATAGTGGCACGAATCACGAATCTGCGTAGATTTAGTGACTTCTGCCTTATGCACCCAACAATGTAACACTGATACACTGTTACGGTTGTCGCCACTTCAAGGTTCGCGCCAGCAACTGGTTTCTCAAATGCACGAATGCTCGTTTGAGTTGCAACTGAAGCTTACAGAACGTTGATGAAACCGGTTGGAATGCTCCTAGCATATGCTCGTAAAACTCGATGATTCCCTCCAGATGATTGTGTAGTTTCGTTAATGGAGCTTCAAAAGAATAGATCGTAGATTGGTTCGATTGATCCGGTCCGACGCAAGTGTCATAGAATCGTCTTATGACAACACACTCGGAAAAATGGGATTCATTACGATGGAGAAATACGTTACTTCGAAATTTTTTGGCCTTGCTGGGGAAAATGCATCTTGATTCAAGGAAAAGACTCATCGCGTTCGGGAAAATTCTTGTTGTGATGATGAAAGGACTCTTGTCTCAGTACTGATTCTCTAGTCGTGACGAGAACCCTGTCGCAAGGAAAGTTTTCGTGCAGTCATAAATGCAAGTTTCCTTGACGCAACAAAGTTTCCTTTTCGTAACGTAAATGTATACCTGAATATGTCCTTGCAGTTTTTTTGTTTCAAAATTGTGCTGATTTTTATAAATACTCTGATAAAAAAACTGTACCCGAAATTTTCGTCAAAAATGCTTGACAGCTCTATGGTATGCTCTCAATGTTCTAGAGGAAGTTTGAAAAGGTTAATTATTGTTGCGTTCCTTCGTTTAGGAAACAAACAGTTTCACAATACTTAATTCCACATTTTGCAATGAGGAACTACTATTTTTGACGCATTTTAGAAACTACGCGTGTGTTTCACGTATTTGTTTGAAAATATATAGGTACCCAGTTCTATGGTTGAGCCCTAATTTGTAGATCCTAATTGTAAAATTTAGTCTATACGAGCTAAAATCGGAAAACAGGCTCGAATCAATTCGTCGGGAATGTTTACATTGACGCCACATGCGTGCATACGTGTGATGGTACAAAAAAATTACGGTTGAGCGTTTGAACTAAGAGCATCGCAGTGTGGGCGTTTCCAACTCATTGCTCGGATTTTAACGCGTGTAAGATTTAATCGATGTATATGTGTATTAAAATATCAAGTTGTTTTTCATGTGGAGCTCACAAGTGTTTTTTTTATTTTGTTCGCAGAATAACAATCTCTGGAGTTACGGACGCCCAGAGTAGCAGTTTACCGTCGGTGAGTTTCAAACTAACTTGATTGAATATTTATTGTCATCACGATTCATACACGCGAAGGTAAATACTAAGGTAGTAAATCCCTCATCACAGCGGTGATCAAGTACTTTTACGATGTAATTTTCATAATGCACAAAGATTTTGCCACGATCAGTCGTTATTTCATCGTATCCCCCTTTTGAAAGGGTAAATGTGTCATCAAATAAAGTAAGCCTACCGTAAACTATAGTGCGCTTAATAGCTGTATACGTATACCATGCAGCTGTATTTTAAGATCAAGGTCGAGATCTGTAATATTGTGACAAAATTATGCGTTGCATGGTATTTTCCCTCTTCCTTCTCTCAGCGAGGAAGTATTAGTTTCTCAGAACGAATCTATCCACGTAGCATTTTTAAAATAAACGACGTATGTTCAATTAATATAATAGCTCTTTGTGGACTTGCAACTTTCCCCCCTCAAAAATACTCTTTTGGATAGGTCCAATTCCTCTCTCGCACTTGGCTATATTTAGGGCAGCTAAACAAATCTTATTCTGTTTTCATATTGGAGACGGTATTGTAACAAAGTTAATTATACCTCTGATTCTTTAACTATATTACGATGCATTTGACTGTAATTGGCTCTAACTGCTCCAAGTACTTTAACTGCCCCCTTGCTTAAGTCTCATTTGTGTTGATCCACCAGCCCTCTGACGTTTCTTGTAAATGTAATATCTCTCCCTCCAATGTAGAGGCACAGAAGAATATGTATAATGAATAGTGTAATTCATATGGTATCAAACATATGAACCAAACGCACTACAAATTTTAAGCAGTATATCTCCATCTTCAATTATTTATTAATTTATTTACCTTTTCGTGGCGAAACTTGACTTACTTAATTTTGCGACATTTTTAATACAAGTAGGGAAGGTTATAATTAGAGCTAGCATGTTATTATTCGTAAAGGCTTGTCCACTGTCTAGCGCAGTGCCACAGTATGTGTTTCGAGGGTTGAATAAGGGCTGCGTGTGGTCGCGAAACTCAATTTTAGGTAATTTATAATCGACCTCATCGATCAGTGAAATGGATCTCTCGTTTTGTATTTTTATGGAAGAGTTGTCAAATATTAGTGCAAGGTTATGCATTTCCGGCCTATATTTCAAAATGCACTCATCACTGCGCAAGTTCGTAAATATTTGATCCAGATTTCATTCCCCTCCATGACGATAAATGTGTTTATTTTCTTAAGAATCCGTCGGTTAACTGGCACGAGGATCGAACTCACACGTCTCGCGATGTGAGTATTGCATTACATGCAATATCGCCCAAAGATCAAGCTCGACCTAGATTTGAAGAAAACTGAAGGAGTGGAGTAATCAGAACGTCGCTCGGCGGACTCGGGACGCAAGCGCGCAACTTTTTAATGCCGCGAGCTCTGGAAAGCTTTAAGTCTTACGGACGGCAAGTTCCACCTTGAAACAAACTTAAGTCGTTTTGTCGCGGATGAGGAACATGAAGATCCACCGCAAGCACGCAACCATTTTCAATATTTACGGCTCGGAGAACAATTGCCATTTTTTGCGCGGGTTTTGTGAACGGTTATGTTGTTTGGGTTGCATCTTGACCTTGCTTTCTCCCAACGTCTTAGTGGTCTAATGATAGTATAAAGATGCACCTGAATCGCAAATTTCGTATCAACGTCTCAAGAACGTTAGTTTGAACCTAAATATTTTCTTCAAATTAAGTACAATGAACTTGCACCTTTTTAAAAGGAACTGTGATATCTACTTTCTCGCCTCCAGGCTGATTTTGCCTAGCTATGAATGAACAGCCAGAATTCTTTCCAGTTTAAATGTTTGTATTCAAGTCCACGAAAATGAGTCACTTGCAGCAAGGAATGATTTTTTTATAGGTGACGGAAATAAGTTTCCATCGGCAAATCACCGTTTCTCCGCTAATTTACATTGTCGGAAAACGAATTTTATCCTAGAGACAATTTCGTCTATAATCTTCGGTTTTGAAAGAAATGTTCATCTTCGGTAAGATGTACAAACGTCCGCCAACCCCTATGAATAGAGGCCATAATTGTTCACGTGAGGGCTGATGTTTCTTAATACTTCATTTCTGCATGATTCATTCAGTTTTCTGATTCAGTAAATAAGGATGGATTTAATTCACCAATGAAACTTCCCTCAGGAAGGCGAAATTTTAAAGGTTACGTATGAGCGCTTCACGTGAATGCTCCACGATACAAAGAAGCAAAAATCAAGATTTTTTCATTTTATCAATTAAATTTTTCTCGGAAAGGGGGAGGGGGGTTCCAATTGGACTGCATTTTACAATTTGGACCTATAAATTCTGGCTCTTCTGGAAAAACACTTATGTGCATAGGGAAAGTAATGACACATGCGTTGTTTTTAAACTGGGCTAGAATTTATGGTTCCAAATTGCAAAATGTAGTCTAATTAGGGCACAGAACTTTTTAAGTTTGCGCACGAATCTTTTGCCAACATTTTTTTCGGATTCGCAACTGCGCAAACAGGCGTTGTGTTCGAATAAAAAGCTGGATCGTAAAAGATGAGTCCGAAATATTAAACGACGATGTTCTCCATCAGGTGCCACGGATGCGTGTTCACTGCGACTATGTCGCAACCGGTAATTGTCTGCTTTCTCCTTTTAGCGTTACAACTAACGCATCACAAGGTGGGCAGATAGGTTCCCCCGTAATTATTATTTCGTATTCCCTTTTGAAGCCTCCGATCCCTCTCACTACCCGTTTGTTTTGCATTCGACCGAATGAGAGAGCCCTCTGTTTTCGCACACAATGCACGCATCACATCTGTCGGTTCCTATCGCGGATCTAGAATAAAGAATCAATATCAACGGCCGTCACGGAGCGGGTTTTGTAACCAGCGGGACAACGTAAATATTTATATTCGATAATGGTCGCGCTAGTTCGAGTTCTTTGGTAACCACTAGAGGTTTTTTATTGACAAGAGTCAGGTTCACTAGGGTATCCGCACAAGAGGCTTTTGCTTTCATGGAGTGACGGTTTTACTCGAGCTTCAGGCATTTTGACTTATACGGAAGTGGAACCGGTTCATTCGCTTTAATTACCTGAGGAATAAAATAATCAATTTACACTGTGATATAATGATCTGCCGAGGTATTGAAGGAGAAAAGTCGACCCAGAGTTGTCGCTTTTTTTCTAATTTTAATTTGAAAGAATAAGAGGAAAAAGAACACGCGCATGGAAGCAAAGAGCATACCTGTTTCAAACTTAACGGGAAAACTGCTTAAGGAACAGCAGTTACCTCCCACACTGTAAGAAATTCTGATTTGCGAATTTCTGTCCGCCTTTTTTTAAATCTAACTTTTCAAATTATTGATTTTTTTTTTTATTTTATCACTTCGGCCGCCCGAGCGCATGGTATCTAAGACTTCGAAAAAGCAGCAAGTACCAAGATTTATTTGACATTGAAAAATATTCGAAAAAACTGATGATTTCTGTGGGGAAATGGTGCGAAAAACTAGTAAATTCCTCTCTCTATACTCAATCAAATCAGTTTTAAAATTGATGATCCGTGTAGACTTGTTTGTAAAGAATCAGGCTAAATATGAAAAGTAATTTTTCCCCCACTCAAACGTGGTACAAAAATCCCCTTTTTCCACAAAAAATCCCAAAGAATAACAAGAGAAAATCCCCATAGTTTTCATCAGAATATTTCTCAGAGGAAAATCAGGAATTAAAAATTGTTCAGAGGTTTACCATGCCCGAATATAATGTTGCTTTTCGTATCATCTTCCTATAAGCCATTTTCATTTTAGTTCGTGAATCGTGTTTTTACTGGTTGCACTCCAAAGCATACTTTCAGAGTCATCAAGAACAGTTTAATATTGTATATCAATAAAAAGTCAAATGCAAAGAAATTAATTCACTTTTATTGGGTATCGGATTAATATATTTTAAAGTTCAGAGATTTTTAATAAACGAAGTGGTGGTAGAGACCCTGAACTTAATTGCTATGGAACCACTGCTACACAAAGAAATCCTTGTATGATGATTTCTCGTGCACCGGACAGATTGCCGAAAAATTAATTTAACAGCATGAATAGCAGATGACATTTAAGTTTGTCGGAGCTAAGAGGGACTGCTCAAGGACCCGGGTAGCGCCACTTAATCGGAACAGATCCGTTCGCCGAAAATCGTTTTGATTTGAGCCTCGTTTGTCTCTTTGTCGGCGAAATTTATTACTCGCCGAATACACTTTCTCGATCGGGCAGCAAAGGCGTAAATAGGTTGACGTTGATTGCATCGAAGGCCGTCGCCTCATCATCAATCCGATTGAATCGAACGCCCTCGGAAAGGATGTTGGAACTCCTTTTGCGTGCAGAATATCATTGATTGATCGGCATAAAAACTGTCCTCCAACGCGTATAGACATTTATCGCAAAACTTGGTATGCAATGAAAAGGACCTTCGGCCACTGAAATCAGAAATCGAGCTCATGTGTTTCCAAAGAAAAGAGACTGTTCGGCCAGTGCGACGATACGCACGCATGAGGCTCTGGATTCCAAGATTGTGGCAATGTTATGTTCATAATACCGCTCCTAGCCTATCCTGTCAATATTGTGTTAATGTGTGTGTTTGAGTATACAGCCAAAATGGCAATTCAAGTCCAGAGTCCACTTGGACACAGTCCCTGTCCAATGAACTGGCAGAGTATTCTTCCAAAAGCTAATGAGATCCCTTACTGCAAATATTTTGCACAGCGGTAAGATTACACTATGGAAACATAGCGTTGAAAGATGGATATACAGTAATACAAAATACAAGACACTACAATATTGAAGAAATAATGTTAAGACAACATTATTTTAGCAGTATTGTTCACCCAATATTGTGTCAATATTGTGACAATCCCGGAGTTAGTAAGCCATACCGTACCTTTGGACCTCTAATATTGGTACAATATTAGAATATGAAGCTTATATATCTAGTATTGATGGTCTATTGCA